TTCGACACGGTAACGTCGTGGCGATCGGCGGCAATCTAGGGAACTCCATCAATAGAAAGCAGCATTTATTGTACCAGCGGATGGCCTCACATCAGAAACGGTATTTAGAATCCAGTTGCTTGCTTGTAACCCGGTGCTCGACGTGTAGTATCGGTTGTTGAAAGAAGTCAAATTCGTGAGATAGTTCTTCATGTTGGAGGTGGAGATCGTATTCAGAAGGGGTTTTACTTCTGACTGCTTCGATGGAGTCGGAACTTGCTGGTAAGTCAATATCTAGGGGGAAAGCAAAAATAGATACAAGACTCACAGGCGGCCTTACCCACTGCGACCTTCTCCTTGGTGGCCAGCCTTTGCTCGAGGTCGTAGACATTTGTCACATCAAACTGAAGAGAAGATATGATGGCTCAAGAGAAGAATATTTGCGATAGGCCAGCGAACATACGAATTGCACCTCTTCGCGCATGAGCTGCAACTTCTCGTCTTCGGTCTTCCATACAGGATCTTCGCCATCCACGATACTGAGAAGGCGATATCCTTGGGCAGATTTCGCTTCGATCTCGTCGGAGGTGATAGGCACCGACTGAACCAAGGCCAAAGCCGCCAAGAGGGCGGCGAAAACTGCGACTTGCAACCGCATTATGAATACAGTAGAGAAGTAGAATCAGCAGAGCAGATGACATGCACAGGTGGCAACTGGCACTTTGATTTTATATATGCGTTAATCGTAGCCATGTGTAGCTACGGAGACACCATGCAGTAGCATGCACCGACAGGTAAGTATCTTACAGAGACAGCTTATAACGCCAAGCTAAGAGGCTCGCAGAGGATACACGCGAAGGGAAGAGTCACACAGGGCTCCTTGTGGCATTTGAAGGTACGGCAGAGAGAAATATCGTTTCGCAGAGCCATATGATCTCTAGCCATTTGCTGCAACGAAGTCTCGAATGAAAGTTCAGCCGGGAAGAGCCAAGAAGATAGCGCGTCATGCGGCTTCATGTCGTAAAATCGCAATGCAATTGTCCTTATATTTCGCTGTACCGTATGCTTTCGAGTAAGCACCACCAGGGAATTGCAAGACCTTGGCAGGACCAGCTCTTGTGAGTGACCCGGGATTCATGATGATGCCTAGACTTTGATTTTTCCAAACTCCGTCACTCCGATGAAATTCAAATTCGTCGCTTTGACCTTGGCTTATATAGCTCTAAGCTCATGGCATGCTTATCCTTTCCTTGGTCATTGGGTCAATTCCGGGGGAAAAGCAGCTGTCCGAAATGTTATTCTATCGACATAATCCAGACACATCATTTGAGATCAGGTTTATTGTCCAGAACCGGTCGGAGACAGGCACTGACCAGTCCTTCATCTATACAGTCGCCTCTGTAATAACCCATAGGTTTTGTTGTCCACCGAGCTCGTTCGCAGGTAAAATGAGTGCATAACCCATAACTCTGCTGTAACCATAACCCATAGCTATTTTCGAAAATTCCCTCTGTATAGACCCATAATTAACACATAGTTAAATTGTATAGTTGCTAGCTTGTACTGCGCACATATAACTTCTTGTGGGTTCGAACCTTACTGTTGGCAATGTTTTTGAGAAATGCGGATGCGTTTACGGCTCCTTCCTTTCTGAGGTGGAGTAAAATTTCGCCTGCAGCATATCAACGGCGGGCCGGCGGCCTCATTTTTTATCATTTGTAGTCTTGCAGCAATTTTCCCTCCGCATGGCTTCCCTAAAGCAGAACATCACTACTCCCACGATTGCTGAGATGTGTGTATCGATCCGCTTCCCTCTCGTAAAGAGGTTTTGAAGGCTGTTTCAACCCTTCAAAATATGTCGGGAACTTGGATGGCCCTTATCTTCATCAGCCTTGAAGGAATTCTGGCCTCATTTGGGCAAACATGTCTTGAAGAGGCTCACTCATTAAAGGATACCAAAATTACAATGTATTTAACTTCTAATTAGGCTTAAAATACAATTTACATATCATAGAGGCCTTTGAAACCCTCGGTAGACACCCTACAACGACCTCTGCAAGAACCCATACTCTGTAGTAACCCATAGCCCCAGGTGTCCACCGAGGGGTATGGGTTATTACAGAGGCGACTGTACCGTGGATTGCTTGGTTCCCCGCATATCACGGAGACAAATTAGACGGCAAGTTGAAGATGGTTATCTTTTCCGGTGGTAAAAATCTTATCCGGCTACTCAAGTTGATGCGCTCCAACTTCTTTCAAGCCCTCTTCTGATGTTGGTCAGATGTCTTTGTCGGGAGTTGCGTGCATGCGAGCGCTATAAATTCATCATCGGCTATCTTATGGATTATTAACGATACCCGAAGGTCTTTGATACATGTTTCAGCGTGTATTTTTGGACCAGCGAACCGAGGCAGGGCCAGTTCATCGAGGTCGTACTTTCGGTCCCGCCTTCAATTTGTCACCCTACGACTCCAAATTTTTGCAATCATTTTCGCAGAGAAGCACCACTTCTCGGGGATGTTGATGAAATAGACCCAGTACGTCAACTGTGGAATTAACTTACGATATGATGTGCGAAGACTCTCCGGCTTTATTTACGACTAGACACGCGATCCGATCATTGGTATTCAAGTCGATCCCTAACGTCATCAAGTGCCCACTAGAACAAACAAAGATAAATCTTCAACGATGTCTCGATATCTAACTTGGATTCGTACTCCATCCAACACTACAATGGCCACCTCTATCGACGACAAGGTTCTTCAAAGCACGTCCTCTAGCCCTCTAATCGACTTGGAAAAATCCTTTGTCGATGTACACGCTACTAGTCTTCTCCTGGAGTCGCTTTCCATGGACTCATTATCAACCATATCTTCAGAATCTAATATCCCGCCGTTCCCTCCTGGATGCATGATACCTATGTCCACGATTCTCAGCGTATCCGTCAAGGCGGGCGAGCACAACGCGACCATTACTGTTCCTACCCCTCCTCGGCTTCGTACAATGTTGAAAGAAAATCTATGCATCAGGAAGTGGGCAGTACGTTCGATCTACCCTGATATTCCACATCGATTGATGAGGTGTCCAGGAAAATCTTTCTTCTGATACTATTGCACCCGGTCACACGCCCTGGGGGGATCCAGAATGTGTAGATGCGCTAGCATGGAAACCAGAAGGCTCGATGTACCCACCCGAAGAGTTCAAGGAATCTCTTCAGAGTAAGCGTCACATTTCTGAGCCCAGTACACCAACTCCTCGGACGTCTACGCGAACTTCTATTCGCAAATCTATGTACCATCGCGATGCCCTGGTGTTTGAGCGCGAAATCACACTCAGAACAGAAGGCGAGACAAAACGCTGGTCCGTTCAAATTCCTGCCAACACTATGAAGCCCGACGTGGTCGACATGATGCTGCAACTGCGCGACTTGAACAAGTATTTCTCTGACCCTTCTTGCCCTGAGGAGGACACTGTCAACGAGCCTCCCCCACCCCCATCCCTAATGGTCTCTAATTCTCATTTCGCCATACCTATCTCTCTCGAATCTTCGGGAACTATCAACTCTAAAGCTGGCGCGCCCTCGTCTATAGCGATTCGGAGGCGAAAGTCGCTTCCCCCGCTCTCCTTAAATGACAACAAAATGAAAGAGATTCTATACCCCGACATTCCCACCGCCTTTTTGGGGACGCCCTCATACGCTTCTCACTTCGATCCTGCTAATGTCGCCGACGAATCCATGAACCTCCACGACATGGTTGGAAGTCTGCGGTCACGATGTGCGTCCCTCCAGGTCAAGACTCCGCTGGACGATAACTTCAACAGCATACCGGCCGATATGCCCCTTGACGATGAATGGGCTTTTGCAGACTCATTGAAGCAACCTTTTTTTTCGCCTTCCTCGAATTTTTGTGACACAACGGCTTCTCAATCCCAAGATGATTCCCTCGTCCTCGCCGCAAGCGATCAGACTGTGCTGCTAGATGAGACACTGGTCGGCAACGATAGTGCTATGGTCAAGTCCCTCAATCTTAACCACCTCGAGTTGAATGGTGCGCCGTCCGGGGTTCCGCCTGTCGCTTCGAACTACCTTCCTCCTTCGTCACCTCTTCCATCTTGTCCAGCTCCTACAGGTGCCATCCTTCCACGCGGAATTTTAAAGCGATGCAAAAGCGTCAGGTTTGCATCCTCGAACCAGGAACCGGAGATTCAGGCGCAAACCGATGCTGCGTCACGCCCTCGTCATTCGACCGGTCTGTCTACACCGCTTGCCCATCGGACAACGAAGCGCCGTATGATCTATGCTCCTATAAGCAAAATCATACCCCCGCAGGATATCCCGCCCAGCAATGATCAACCCATGTTTTTACGTGCAGCAGGACGTCAGAAGCCTGGGACTGCTATTCGTCCTACAATCTTCTCCTCTCCTCCTCGTGCAATGTCGACACCACCCGGTGAGAGGCGTCCATCATCTCTCCGCTCCCCGACGAAGACGAGGACCAGACACAGCCAACCTACGGTATCTTCCCCTACAAGAACAAGTACTGAGAAGCGCCCGTGCTCGCCAACTACGACAACAGCAACTCCGGAGGCGCCCCCGAAGTTAAGGCCTTCTCTTACTTCTCACACTTCACCCCTTGGCCGTTATTCTTTTGGTCGCGCAGCGGTCAATGCGATTCAAGGAGGTGCTGTCAGTGATAAAGAAAACAAGGTAAAATCGAGGGCATCACTATCCCCGGCAGAGAATACATCGAAGACAACGATAGATGAGAATTCGATAAGACGTGGGAGCCAGGGGGAAATGAAGAGTCGGATGCCGTTACCGTTGAGGAATATCTTAACACGATTCAAATAAATGTTCTATAACCTGTTCCAATTCTAAGTGGGTCGGATTGGTCACTCAGGACGGCTGAGGGTGACTCGTAAGAGTTGCAACTACACTGAGACTTGGGTGACTGAGGACTAGGAAGTAGGAACTAGTTACATAACAACGCTGTGATGTGGTGAAAAAAAAACAATAGATCGGGCCTGACCGGGAATTGAACCCGGGACCTCCTCGACTGGCAATTACAACACCCTAACAAGGAATCATACTACTAGACCATCAGGCCAATACCACTAGTCCAACCTGAGTCTATAGGATCCTGGACACGACACTTCTGATTACACCACTAAAAGTACATTCTGAAAATTATATGCAAGACCGACACAATTTAAAACCATCTCAAGAACCTCCCTGTCCGCGACCTGATCCCCCCCGGCTCAATCCTCTACCTGCAAAACCGATCCTGAAGAAAGGATTGCCACGAGTGATAAAGGGATCACCAGGATCTCGAGGTATGATTGGCAGTGTAATGTGGCGGCGCGCCGGAGCCGGAAGCGGCCTTGGAGGTTTATCTTGCTCAATATCACTGTCGGCGTCATCCGTATTCTCCTATTTTATAGTATTCATTAGCACCGCCAACGTCTCAATGATTCGGTAGCCATGCCTCAAGATCAATGACCAGGGCCCCAGAATGCCATCCAGATGCTGCGGCTGAAAGGCAGAACCTGTCCTTTGGGTTCTTTCTGTCATGGTCAAACCGTACTTCAGTGGGAACTCGGACAACAGCGGGATGGCCTCTGCCTTGGTCTAGAGCCATAAGCCGTTCATTTTCAGTCTGGAATGCACCCGGACAACCGGCCTCGAGCTGGCAGGGGTCCCCTAGTCCAAGAGCTCCATCGGAGTATGCACCCCAGCTTAAAAGTTTGCCGGCCGCCGTCATTGCCACTTGATGATAGTCTCCGAGTACAACGGATATGACCGATTTGTTCTGAAGCGCAGGGATGATTTGTGGCTCGGAATCGAGCGTGGTGTTAATGCCACCCATAAGAACAATCGAACTAGAGCCAGTGGAATAGGCGATGAAGCGCTCGAAGTGGGCAGATATCTTCGAAATTAAGTTATCGTAACACCAAACATGAAACAGACACTGACATGTGTGATTTTCATTGCTGCTGGAGGCTCTACTGAACCACCGGCCGAGGAGAACGTGCCATGTTGTCGAACTCTTTCAACTTCGCTATACCTTGGTAACTAAACAAAGGAAAATGATTAACGAGTACCAGCGGTATATAGTAAGGAGCTACATATTCCCATCGACCACGAAGTGCGGTCGTTTCATTTTCTAGGGAGCCAAACTTGAGGACATGGCCTTTCGTCGTAAGAGCAATCATATGACTGTCATACGATGCTATTTGTATGACTCTGATGGGTTCGTCGATGTTGTTGTCCGGGGAAGTCAAGACGGGAAGAGGAGGTAACGAAGGCAAAGCGACGGGATCCATATCAAGATCCCAAGGCAGGCATGCAATAACACCACTTGATACAAGGCCTTTCTTATCTCCGGCATCGTTCATCGCCGAATTCCTCTCTTCAATGCGTCTCTCCATGGAGCCAGAAAAAGGCCACCAAACAAAAATCTCGCCGGTGTTCATCAGAGCAGAGGAAAAATTCCACCCACATTCAACTTGAATTGGATGACAATCAGACGCGTTGAGACGGGAAGATGTCAACCGGAACGGTCGCCCCCAATTGATGAAGTTCCAAACGTAGCCTTGAGAGTCCATAGACGCCGCATGTAATCTCCCGCAGCTTATGCGTGTCAACATAAGCGCGCAAAGAAAAACGGGTGACCAACCTGATGCTGCGCATGGAAACTGGTAAATGCAGTCTCAGCGGGTGATCTGCTCTCTTGCCTGCCTCAGAAAACCCGTCACTGGTCAGAGCACGCTGCTGTCCATCAAGAGTACCTAGAAGTGAACATTGAGTCTACACACTTGAATGAAAGTATTCAGCCAACCCCAAACAAAAATGTCCCCCTTGGAATCCAAGGCGTGAAACGACCTATTGTTGGATGGGCGAAGAGTCACAGTCCTGAAATGGATAAACGAAGTGGAGGTCCCTTACATTCCCGCTGCGACAAGACTGACGATACGAGCACCAGGTATTTTCAGCTCAGTCGGAAAAGGTACATCACGAAGCGAGGTTTTAGGCAGTGTTGACAACCCGAGTCTCCCATGAGAGTGCGCTCTGTGCTCTACCATCAGTCGGATATAAAGAATGAATATTGCGGTTTATAGAAATACTGACCCCCAAACGAAAACTATTGCATGATGGGTGTGTCACAATATATCCTTGACAACAATGTCGTGAAGCGTACCGCGTGGTTTGAAGAGACGTGAATAGATAAACTTCCAGCCACTGGTTCGAGCAGTTCCAGCCCCAGAAAAATTGAAGTCGGATTGACATTTGAGTTTCCAAAAAGTACTATCAGAGGCAAGCAAAGCAAAGAACTGGAACAAAGTCCAACAGTCACGACTTGGACGGAACGTATAGCCTGTGCGGGTCAATGTACCTTGCAGGTTGCAGCCAAATGGGCGAGATCGCTCGTTGGAAGTAATGGCAGCAAATTGTCCAAGAAGAGCTCTACGGGTAATTCGGTTATAGAGGGCATTGCTACGGATTCAACGGATGATGAGAGTAGAAGAACAAGAGAATCCAGACTGCAAGCGGATCGATAAGTGACGTCATCGCACAGCCCGTCACAGCATCACGACGTCACGTCATGCCGTGACGGCCCGCCTCAACGCCACCTGTTTCGACTCGGAAAGGGATCATCGATCAGCGCTCAGCGACACCCTGGCAGCCGCAAGCCAAATATTTCTGGCGCGCTCTAACAGGAACTGTGGAATGTTTTTCGTCTTCAAACTTTATTGCATTCGATTCTATTTGACTCTCTTTGAATGGTCTTTTTTCAACAACTCTGCATTCCAGCAAGGGTGTCACCGGCACGGATATCTTTATCTCTATGCAGTTATTCCCTCCTGAATATATCTCGAGCTGCTTATATTCGTCAACTGCCCCCGAGCGTCGGCCATCATTCCTGCACTGTGTTCTTTCTTTTCAATGGCGGACTCAATCTCCATGTTTAAATCCTTCTGCGGAGCAACATCCGTAACCCTGAACTCAATACATCGGATTGTCCGATGGTTCTTGACGTGCACAGTCCGCACAAGCGCCTGATTCCGTCATTGTATTCGCCGGCACTTCTATGTACTCTTTTTGGCAGTCTCTGTAAGTTCTCTTTGTCTCGTCAACTCCTATAGGACTATGTCGTTGATTTTGACTTTTGGGCCTGTTTCGCCAAACGGGGACGTTTCCGACATTCCGTACCCCGACGCATTCGCCGCTACATAATGGGTTCATTGACATTGACCTCCATGCCGTTCACACGACCGCCGTTGAACAACATCGGATATTGCATTTTTTTCAATACCCCCTCGTCTTGGTGAATCTGCCGATGTCCAAATATACATCCCCCTTTAGAGTTCTACAGCCACATGATACGAAATTCTCGTGTGTCCATTATATACAGAGAAGGGAATCATTCAGTTTTCCTCTGCGGGACTTTTTCTTGTGTCTGACTTGATCACTTGAGTGGTCCTGACATTGACATGCCGGAGAATTATGGTTACCGAAACGTTTATGATATCTGCATTCGGCCTTTCAAGGTTGCAAGAAGCAGCCATCTACAACACCGGTCGATCCTTTACTTCACAATTGAATGTATGTTTTCTGTCACTGTTTGTCTGATGTTCAGCATTGATCATTTTGAGCTTAGAAAACCGGTAGTGCATGCACAAGAGTCTTCTCGACATCTTTTGGGTCACGAAATTATAATGTTTATATTATCCTTATTACAACAGGCATCTGGGCAGTTCCGTCTCCGGCATATGTATTCACGGAGTGTCAGAACAACCGGGAAAGCGCCCAGCTACCGGAATTGTATACCTCGCATTCATCCCCACCATGACCACCAGAAAACGAGGAGCCTTTGTGCCTGACGTCGGACGCTGTAGCCACCTCATGGAAACCAGCGTACGGTACGACAGAATAGAGCATGAGGATGTCTCCTCCAGTTCCTGTCGATCACTGTGGTGGACAGATTTTGCCGAACGTTCGCCTTCGCCTTCGGATTTCGATGATAGCCTATACGTATACTCTTCAGTCACGGCCCGACCCTTCCGCTGTCTTCGCAATGTGAGCAGCAGCATACAGCATGTCATTGGTACGCTTTTCATCTCACCTGTGTCCTCACTTGCTCATTCGCCCTTAGCGGACTTGTCGACCAATACACAGGACCAACGGACACACCATCCTGTCTAGGCATTTCGATCCGGTCCAGTTGCCCATCATTAACGCATCCACCAGCTCATAACTGGCCCGATAAAACTCGGCAAGGCACGGTCTTTTCTATGTCGTGTCCGGTCCTTAATCCGGTGAATGCCTGGTCATTTGCAAACTCGCAATTAGGTTTCCTTTTCACCGGCGCGCTCCACATTTTGTCAGTCCCTTCCTTACAGCCCTGAAACCAGGGCTAAGCGCTAAAATCTGAAGCAGCATTCCGAGGCTCACCCAAGGTTTTCGGTCCCGCAGTGCACAACGGTAAATTATTTCCAACCCGAGGAGGTGCTTCTCTTTTCATAGCCGTTCAGCCGTTTTTCTCACTCGTTTAATCCAGTATTGTTATCAAAAGCTAGACCTCTGTCTGCATTTGAAATTTCTGCGGCTTTCTCCCTGAAGTAATTTTAATGATGCCTACGCCCGAGACCATTCGAATCTGTGCTTCGTATCAATTTTTTGATGGTATACTACGCGGGGCAGGCAGGCAGCTACGCGAAACCTTGATCGCATATTTCACAGCTACCGTCGATTTGAGGGGACTCGAGTTCAATTTGAATGCTGACAGATCTTTCGACCTAGCCCGCGAATCAACATTATTAATGAATGACAGTCTATCCTTGTGCGCGACGCGTTACGTTAAGAAAAACCACATGGCAGGGTATGTTAAAGGTTTCGATGGGATAACGTTAGTCTTGTGATTGAATAGCTTTGATCTGGTGCGGGGAATTCGAAGTATATCTGCTTTCTTCTCCCGGAGAACGGAAGGACGGAGGCAAATTGCGTAGGCGCCACAAGCGGGGCCGCCGGTTACAAGCGGTTTACAGTTTCAAATCTACATTTCCTGACCCTTTAGCGTAGCGATCGGACTCGGTGGTGGTGGTTTTT